TTTTTTTTTTAACAAGGGAAATAATAGTTTGCTTTATTTTAAAAGAGTAACTTCCTTACATTGGAGCACTAGCCAAAATTCAATACTGATGCAAATATAAATTTCTTAGGAGCCCAAAATATGTGTCAAGTGGATTTTCTGAATTTCTTAAAAGGCAGAATTTTTAAACCATATCAAACAATTAGAAACAATATCTATCAACAGCATGCCACAGTTTAAACCTAAGCCAAATAACCAAACTATGTAAATTATCTCAAACAATTTTTGTTAATATTTAGGAGAACAACAAACATTTTTAATAACTTAAAGTGTATTTCTACTTATCTCCTAATCCTCCCAGGAAGTATAACTTTTCTTCACTAGATTTAAATTTTTAAAAATTCAAATATTTACTCATGGTAAGAAATTCTGGCATTAACTATTAGCTGAATTTATCACAAATAGAAAATCATGAAAGTTTATTGAGCACTTACAAATGACCACTTATAGCAAGTCCTTATAAGTCCTGGATGATAAAGGCAGTTCTCCACTTTCTAATAACTCCTAAGGATTACATTGTATAATATTAATTCATCAGAACAGCATTCTGAACAATGATAAATAATATATAGGAAAGTCATAGTCCTACTTAATAAATGTTTCATTATAAATATTTTGACCAATATTAAAAAATTTTAAACTCCATTATGCTGACATTTTCAGAAGTATTATCAACTTAGCAATGAGTCATTTTTATGATGCCATTTATTAAACTGAAAATAAAGAAAGGTGGCATATCTGGTTTATATTTAAGTGATTTAATTCAATAATTCAATCTGTCACCACTTGAAAAGTACATTTGTTTCCTCAGCATTGGATGCAATGAGGTACAAGCAGCTGTCCTGGTTCTCAACTTCCCTCTAATGGAAAGCATATGGAATTGCAGCAGTGAACATCAACTGGTTCCTATTCAAAGCTCCACTCCAAAAATGTGAGAGAGAATCTAAGATAAAAGTTCTATTAGAGGCAAGAAGATTCTAATCTCACATATTTTATTCCAACAACTTACATTATACCAGCTGACCCATACTGAATAGTAAATGCTCACTGAAAAAAAAAATGAAGATAATAATACCCTCATTGTCATTCACTGATAATTTTTAAACTGTTTTATATCCAAATATAAGTATATAAAACATTTGTACAGATAAATTAGTGTTAAGAATTTTAAAATGCACAGTAAAATCCACAAATGTCCTTTCTATGTTCTGAAATCTTTCAAATGTTTTCAAGATCGGAGGCTTCAACATCCTGGCTAAATGTGAAAACCATGTCAGAATTCAGTATGTTATAGGAGGCTCTAGAACTGACCATCTCATAAAAGCAAACAAAGTTATGGTGCTTCCATTATTGCTTAATCCTCTAGGTTAAAAAGTACACCACTGAATACTAAAGCCAGGTATTTACTAAATAGTGTTGGATTTCTACTAGCCAAATTCAGCCCTCCCAAACCAGCTGAACCAGGAGTTTTCTTCAGCTCATTGTCCATTAGGAGTTTGAAACATTTTCAATTAAAGCCTTCATTTTTCCTGTAGACTTCAACATATGTGGCCCAAACAATGCTTTCTCTGAGGTGGCCTCTGATTCAGACTTTGGAACTCCTTTTTTCAATTTCTCCTTGGCTATTGCTTTGATATCGATAAGCAAATTTCTTTTTCAGAGCTTCTGCTATGAGGGCAGCAGGATCAGTAACATCTACTGGCTTGGGCTTTACATCTTTTCTGACCTCTTAACTGACCAAAGTTTTACACTATTCATATCTTTAAGGATCTCTAGCATATTTGGCATGTCAGATTTCTTTGGATTGCTTTTAGCCAAAGTCTTTCCAGCATTGGCTTTTTGCTCTCTTCGTTCTTTAATCAGATCAATAGCAGATTTACTTTGGTGGAGTCCTGGTGGAGGTGGTGGAGGAGGAGGCAACGGTGGTGGTGGTGGTGGCAGTGGTGGCATGGAGGGAGGAGGTGGGGCTGTGGTAACAGATGTGGCAGAAACCAAGTCACCTACTGCAGTGAGATTCTGTTGCTCTTGCAGGGTCACGATTTTGGCAATCTGAGCTCTGAGAGTAGCAAGTTCATTTTCAAGTGCACAGATCTTCTGCAGGGCTTCCTCATTGGCCAGAACTGCATTCTTTGGTGGAGGTGCTTCTTGAGACAGGCTTGGTAAGGAAATATGCCTGCGTGGGGGCTTCTTGAAGAAAGGAAGGTCATCTTGAAGGGGTGGCTTTGACCTGACTTCTGTCCTTAGTCTTGTTGAACACTCTCCTTCTTCTGTGGCTACCCATCCAACGTCAGCAAAAGATACCACTGGATCCTCTCCCAGGTGGTTGGGACTCCATTCTGTTGCATGGCTGGTAAGCTGAAATTGAACTGTTGGACACTGAATCAGAGATAAGTTAGTACCAATTTTCCTTACGATACTTCGAGATGAACCATATGGTTTTCCAGACCAAAGTACCGATTGCATGCTTACTACAACTTGCTGAAAAACCATCCTCATCAGGCGTTTAATCCAGCCAAGCATTTAGATGGTAAAGTTGTCCCAAATTTGCATTTCAAGTACTTCAGGCATACATTGCAGTACATTGTCCATTAAAGCACACTCGGCCACGCGGCAGCCAGCATCTTCTCCTGCTACTCCGAAATATAGAGTG